GTCTGTGTTTTAAAAGTTGTTTATACTATAGCTTTGTGATGTTAACTGTTTTTTCCTTTTTCTTTTTTCTTTTAAATTTTTAAAATTCAAATTAGAAGCAAACAAGCCACACATGTCAATCCCAGTTCTCACTCCATGCCAGGAATAAATACTGGTCTGCTACCAGAAGTCCTGTAGATTGCCGAGGCCTCCTCACTGACTGCTATGTTCAGGAGGATCTGGATCAGTCCCGTGCTGGCCTCCCAGCCATCAGTCTGGGGTCCATGAGTTCCCTGTTGTTCAGGTCAGCTGTTTCTGTGGGTTTCACCAGATGTGTCTTGACCCCTTTGTTCTTCACTCCTCCCTCTTTGCACTGAACTGGGTTCTAGGAGTTCAGTTCAGTGTTTAGCTGTGGGTGTCTGCTTCTGCTTCCATCAGCTACTGGATGAAGGCTCTAGGGTGGCATATAAGGTAGTCATCAATCTCATTATTGGGGAACAGCTTTTAAGGAAGCCTCTCCACTATTGCTTAGATTGCCAGTTGGTGTCATCCTTGTAGATCTCTGGAACTCTCCCTAGTGCCAGATCTCTCCTCAAATCTATAATGGTTCCCTCTATTCTGATATCTCATCCTGCTCTCCTCTATTCTTCTCACAACTCAGTCTTACTGCTCCCCCATTTCCTCCTCTTCCTTATCTAAAATCCATATATGAGTGAGTTAATACCATGTCTTTTTGTAACTGTGTTACCTCACTCAGGATGGTTTCTCCTAGTGCCATTCATTTGCCTGTGAATTTCAAGATTCCATTCCCCCCCCCCCTGAGTGGAACCCCATTGTGTAAATGTACCACATTTTCTCTATCCATTCTTCAGTTGAGGGGCATCTAGGTTGCTTCCAGATTCTGGCTATTACAAATAGTGCTGCTATGAACATAGCTGAACAGATGTCCTTGTTGTATGAATGTGCTTCTTTTAGGTATATGCCTAAGAGTGGAATTGCTGGAACTGGAGGTAGACTGATTCCCATTTTCCTGAGGAATCGTCATACTGATTTCCAAAGGGGTTATACAAGTAGGCACTCCCACCAGCTATGGAGGAGTGTTCCCCTTTCTCCACATCCTCTCCAGCATAAACTGTCATTGGTGTTTTTGATTTTAGCCATTCTGACAGGAGTAAGATGGTATCTCAGAGTTGTTTTGATTTGCATTTCCCTGATGGCTAAGGATGGTGAGCATTTTAGACTCCTCTATTGAGAATTGTCTATTTAGTTCTGAACCCCACTTTTTAATTGGATTATTTTGTGTTTTGGTGACTGGCTTCTTAAGTTCTTTGTAAATTTTGGAGATCAGTCCTCTGTCAGATGTGGGTTGGTGAATATCTTTTCCCATTCTGTGGGCTGCCTTTTAGTCTTATTAACTGTGTCCTTTGCCTTACAAAAGCTTCTCAATTTCAGGAGGTCCCATTTATTAATTGTTGATCTCAGTGTCTGTGCTACTTGTGTTATGTTCAGGAAGCGGTCTCCTGTACCAATTTGTTCAAGGGTACTTCCCACTTTCTCTTCTAATAGGTTCAATGTGGCTGGATTTATGTTGAGGTCTTTGATCCATTTGGACTTAAGTTTTGTGCATGATGATAGATATGGGTCTATCTGCAGTCTTCTACATGCTAGCATCCACTTATGCCACCACCAGTGTGTACTTTTAGTTTAACAAATATTTATTTTTTTTTAACCAGGTAACTGATAGATTCTTTCTTGAAAATATGTATTTTTACAAATGTATTTCTTTGACTTTCATTTTTTTCTGTCAATTTTTTCAGGTGATACACCTTTTTATGCAGATTCTTTGGTTGGAACTTACAGTAAAATTATGAACCATAAAAATTCACTTACTTTCCCTGATGATAATGACATATCAAAAGAAGCAAAAAATCTCATTTGTGCCTTCCTTACCGACAGGTAACTAATTTTGACACTGTGTTTCCTTTAGTTGTTGTTATGTGTATACTGGGGCTCCAGCATACAGGTTAGCCCTACTCTCCTCTCAAAGCCAAGTTGTCACACTTGCACAGCATGTACTTTTTCCTGCTGAACCATCTCATCAGCTTATGCACTTCTTTAAATTCTAAGGTATTCCCTCTTATCTTGCCTCTCAGTTTTTAAAGTTCTTTCATGAGAACTATTGGAATTTAAAAGCCGATGTCTTGAAAATTACTTACGATAATGAAGCCTGACAAAAGGTTAGGATATTGTGATATCCTTTTTGGCTGTCAGCTTAGTGCATACGAACAGGCGGCTAATAGCCAGATAATTTTTCTTTTGTTGTATTTTAACTTAATTATAAGACTGATAACTATTGAATCTTGGATTTTTTGTTTTTCTTTCTTCCCACAAGGCTCAGGCTGTCCTGGAATTTACTTTGTAGACCAGACTTCCTCAGACTCAAAGAGATCTACGTGCCTCTGCCTTCTGAGTGCTGGGTTAAAGATAGGTGACACCACACCTAGCTGTACATTTTTTTTCTTGATGCATTAAAACCTCTGAAATTTGTGTGCATCTTTCATCACTGATTTGCACTAATGGAAAGCATATTCCTCTTAGTTACAAAAAAGTGATGATACACCAGTTTTGATTTATACTAGTTTTGATTTGGTGGTATATAGTATTAAAATTAGTGCCTTTCTTATAAACTTAGTTATGGCTGTTGTGTTTTCCTACTGCAACAAGTGTTTATAAACAGATGTGATTTTGAAACAAAAAAAATGGAACATTTTATACACTTTTGTAGTTTACTGTAATATTTATGTTTGCAGTTCTGGAAATTGACCCAGGACTTAAGATATACAGGAAAGTAGGGATTTAGTTCAATGGAGTACTTGTGTAAGAACTTGGGTTAATTACTTTGAATGCACAAGACAGAATCAAATAACTTTGTAAGATTACATTTAATGTTGGTTGTATATTCCTAATTTAAGTAGCAACAGAAGCCTATATTTATATATATTTCAATTTGATCTTTAATTAAAATTAATATATCTTGAATATGTTCTTTAGAGCTTGAAAGACACAGTTCAGATTTTTACTTTTTAATGTAAGTAACTGTCTTGTGTTGTATGTTTGGTGCTAGCCATATAGAAATAAACAAGTTACATGGCATCTGCCTCAAGTAACCTCATAGTTCTCTTGGGAGAAATAGACAAACATTCTACAGTGGGAGTTACAGTGAGATAAGTACTGTGTACCCATGAATGTAGCCTGAGAAATCGAGTCATTGAAAGATGCTAACAAAGTGTTACACATATAAAACAATGTTTGTAACTTTTGAAAAAATCGCCAAAAACACCTATTTTCACTGTTTTAGTTCATTATGCCCTCCAAAAAGAGGGTAGTGGTACTTGTGGATTTTGTTTTTATTCATTGTTAAGTGTTCCTGACTGTTTACTGCAGACTGAGCCCAAGACATTGTTCAATCTTATGTGCTATGCCACTGGACTACAGTCTCAGAGTAGTTTCATCTGGCCTTGAGTTTGTAATTCTCCTTCCTCTGCACTTACTGACAGGATATAGTCAAATCCCCCATGCTCTGCTTTGCCATTAAAGGTTTTCATTGATTAAAAAGGCTGAATACGCCGGGCGTTGGTGGCGCAAGCCTTTAATCCCAGCACTCAGGAGGCAGAGGCAGGTGGATCTCTGTGAGTTCGAGGCCAGCCTGGTCTCCATAGCGAGTGCCAGGATAGGCTCCAAAGCTCACAGAGAGAAACCCTGTCTGGACAAAAAAAAAAAAAAAAAAAAAAAAAAAAAAAAGAATGAATAGGGTTTTTGTTGTTGTTTTGATTTTTTGAGACAGAGTTTCTCTTTAATTTTGGAAGCTGTCCTAGAACTTGCTCTATAGACCAGGCTGGCCTGGAATTCACAAAGATCGGCCTGTGTCTGTCTCCCTAGTGCTGGAATTAAAGTTTTGAGCCACCAGCTGAATAGTTCTTAAAAATAAAGTGGAAATTAAAATTTTAAATGTTTCTGGGATCTTTGGTAGAATTTGGTATGAATTAAAGTTTTTTACACAAAAACTTTATACCACAAATTTTAAAAACAAGAAAAGTCATTGTGTTTGACTTGTCATATAAATCTTTTTGTCTGGGTTTTCATTAACAATGAAAAATAGGAATAAGTCTGCTTTTTTATTGTTTTCCTTTCAAAAAAATTTCTTTAATGTCAATCTGCTGTTTTTCTGAAATTTTTGCTGATAATAGATTTTGGTTTTTTCAAGACAGGATCCCTCTGCATAGTCCTGGCTGTTGTGGCACTTGCTCTGTAGACCGAGCTGGCCTCTAACACAGAGATTTGCCTGTCTCTGCCTCCTGAATGCTGAGAGTAAAGGCATGAGCCACCACACCCCACCTGATAATTTTTAAGATGACAGATCCGCTGAGATTTGTTGTTCTGTCACAAAGAATCCTATACAGGTTATAATAAGATCTTAAATGATTTATTATGTTTCCTCTTCCTTTCTATTTAGAGAGGTGAGATTGGGCAGAAATGGTGTAGAGGAAATCAAACGTCATCTCTTCTTCAAAAATGATCAGTGGGCTTGGGAAACACTCCGAGACAGTAAGTTATTTTTTTTTTTTCCCTTGGGCACTCAAGAGTGTTTGAAAGTAGTTGTAGGAAGTTTAAAGTGCCTTGCTAAATATTTGTGTATAGTTGATGAAAATAAGTTCACAGTGCTTTATAAAAATTGTCTAAGCCTAGTTAAAAAGAATATTTGATAATGCTGTAGAACTTTGTGGAGCTGTGCCTCTCATGTTACTTGCACATACCATACTGGTGGAAATAGAGTTGGGCTCAACAGTCATAGTTGATACTTGATCATTTTTGAGTTACTCTCCATATAGAAATAACTATAGGCTTAGTTATTTCTGTATGAAAAAAATCAGTAAGTAGGAACAATTGGAATCAAAATGTTTTCCCAGTTGGGCGGTGGTGGCACACACCTTTAATCCCAGCACTAGGGAGGTAGAGACAGGTGGAACTCTGTGAGTTCAAGGCCAGCCTGGTCTACTGAGTGAGTTCCAGGACAACCCCCAAAGCTACAGAGAATGCCTGTCTTGAAAAACAAAACAAAAAATGTTTTCCCCTGTTAAAAGACTAGTTTTCTCTTATTTTAATTAATACTTAAGGTATAAGAAGGCTATGTTACTGCTAAGTACAGATTGTAACTCAGTTTTTGTATGGACATTGGAACTTCTGGTATACTTGATTTGAAGATTGCAGTTGTGAAATAAATACATAGTATGCTAGAAATTTTCAGTCATTGTAGAATATTTCCTTAGTTTTTATAAAAGAAAGTTAAAGTTACAAGGTGATCTGAAGAAAACTGTACATAAGTTATATTAATATGATGTAATAGCACCAAAGATATTCCAGATTTGGAAAAATTTTAGAATTTTCTTTCCTTTTTATTTATCAGAAGAATAATGCTGCTATGTCATAGTCATGTACTCTCCTGGATTCTGTTAGGAACATTAAGAGTGTGGAATTCATGAGACAGTGGTAGTTTTTACTTGAAGGGTAAATTTTTTAATTAATTTTGAAGAAATGGGTTAAGGATATTTGCTAGTTTTAGTGGTATATTCTAGTTATCAAAGATTACTAAACAAAGTAGTTACATATTTTTATAACATATTGTCCTAAGCTAGAAACTTACCAAGAAGAAGGAGAAGCAAATTACTCTAGAGGCCGATAGATTGTACTATAGCAAAAAGTGTCATTGACTGTGTACTTACAGGCTTATTAGAGAAGCTACAGCAGCAATGTGACCTTGGGAGAACTCAGTAACAGTTACACCTAGGGAAAAACCTGCTCAAATGATAGATGGGATACTATTATTGTGTTTAGGCTGCAAGGCTAGACAGCAACGAGCAGGAAATGAGGCAGATAGTTACACTGAAAAGTTTTGTTCTTTTATTCATGTATGCTTTTAATAAATTTAGAAAGGTTAAAAAAAAAAAAACTAAAAAAGTATATATGGAGACCGAAGAGAAGTATCTTTTGAGTTGTTTTTGATTTTTTTTTTTTAAGAATTAGGAAATATTCAGGTAACTATAGAATAACTACATAGTAAACCATTTTAAAAATTGGATGGTTCTATTTCTCTTTTGGCTTGAAAAGTTGGTATTAGGCGGAAGAGAAATATTTGAATCCCTATTTCAGGCCAAGTATGATTTTATTCCAGGCATTTGTCCTGACCTGCAGGACGTCAACTTGGGGCAAGAGAGTCAGGGATAGGGAATGGGGACAAGAGACACAGAAAGAAAGACCACAAAACAGGGTTCTGATCAAGTGGCAAACTTTACTTTTCTCAGGCTAGCTTATATAGTCGGCCGAGCAAGATATGGGGAGGGGGTAGGATGGGTTGTTTGTGAGGCAGGTGTTAGTGTAGGCAGGATATTAGGAAGCCACAAAGAGGATGTTTGGGAGGGGAAAGAGTTCCCAGGAAGGGTTGCCTAGGTGAATGAGTAAGAGGCCCAGGAAGGGTTGCCTAGGTGACTGAGCCTGTGGGTGGAGGATTGGGTCAAGTTGTTTCTTTTCTTGAGCTGAGGTTCTAAGGAGCTGCTATGTAAAGGTTAACTATGTAGCCTGCCAAGCATGGCCTAGGATCTCATGCCAAGCCGTGAGATTTGGCTCCCAACAGGCATTGGAAGAAACAACAGTGTCAAAGTTTCCCCTTGTGCAGCTTACAGTTGTATGGGAATTGGAGTTCAAATCCATGTCACTTTATTATAACGCGGCATGTCTTTCATAAAACTGCTTTTATCTATTTAAAAAGTGGGGGGAGGACTTATAGCTTTAAAGCAAATGACTTTATACTTAATAATTTATTGCTGTCTTTTGTTATTTTTTTTTTTTTTTTTTTTTTTTTTTTTTTTTTTTTTTT